TTACTCGATTCTTGCAGCGAATTTATACTCATATTTCTCAAAACTTAAAGTAAAAATTAGACAACTTAAAATGAATTTTGTAAATGTTTTTGCTTTAGATAATGAAATGTTAAACATCACTTTCTTAATCATTTTAATTAACAGAAGAAGCAGCCTTGAAGAAGGAAAAAAAAACAAAACACTGTTTGGATGATCTGTTATTAGTTTCAGTCATTAGTCAAACCATAGAGCTATGACTTTTCATACATTTATATTTTCAAATTTGACATTTTGGAATGAATTGGTGTCACTCTTTGCTTGGTAATCTATTGCAATTTTAATCTGAAATGTAATTTAATTTTCTGTTATAGTTAACTTACAAGGAAAGGTAAGTTAATGGCAACACAATACAATTTTTAGCAGAAAAATAAATTATATAGTGGCATAGAGACAACGCAGATAGAGAGAATAAAAGTGATACATTAGAATAAGAGTATAAAAATGATTAAATGAATCGCAAATTGGAACAAAGGTCAGACTGAGCTTGTAAAATAAAAGGCCGGTCTAAGATTTAATCTCATTGTTAAGCAACTCGACACACTCAGCAGTCTTGGTGAAGAAAATAAAAAATGCATTTGATAATTTGTTTAAAATGTTATTCATCAGGCAAAGAAATGCTGCTTTATTTAAATCCTTTTTGATAATTTGTTTTAATTAGATTATCGAGAACAGAACACTAGATTATGTAATTTTAACAGACTGAAAACAGCTTAAGTGTAAAATGTATGAAAACCAGCCCTAATCTAACCAATGTTCTGCTGTAGCTCTTAGTATTAAGTTTCAAAGTGTGTTGACTGCTCCATATCGGCTTCTACGATCATATTCTTAGCTACAACGCTGTAAAAGAAGGGGGAGAGTGTCAGTGAGGAGGACGAGCAGGATGGGATTCAGCGTGGACACCCTCTGAGCTTTAATCCGTTCAGAGCCTCCAGCTGTGACGGTCAGTCTAACAGCAGCGGATTCCAGATTGTTTCCCATGTTGATCATAGCAGAAATAATCCCCCTGGTCTCCAGGCTGAGCCAACCAGTCCATGCCAGCCTTTCTGCAGGTGTCCAGCTGCAGCCGTCAGAGCGACGTCGGTTAAAGGAAAACTCTGGTCAGCAAGGATTGATCAAAGGATCATGATTTATACCTAAAACTAATACGTTCGCAGTGATTCTATGAATTTAGCGTTAATTAGTAACAAAATAAAAACATTGATCACTGAGTCTGGGAGTGGCCATTTTTTGCCCAAATATAGTAGCCCCTCCCTCCTGCCATCTTCCAGCAGTGAC